TATGTGAATGTTAGATGCTTGTTGAGGTCACCCTGTGCACAAATTGTGTTAAAACGAGGTGTGTCACTTCCAAAAAGCCGTGTCACTTCCTGTGGGTCCATAGTAAAGGTCAGGAAACCTAGTAATAGCCACCTAACTTAAAAGACATTGATTGTAAATAAGTCAATTACTAATTAATATCAATATGAATATTGTTAAGGGCCCTTAATCAAATTATTCTAAGGCATTAGGGAAACTGAACTTTAGTGGTGATGAAATGTTCTCATTAACAAGCAGAAAGCTAAGCAAAAATGCGCAGAAACATCAGACTCAAACACACTGGAGACATTGTAAAATTTCCTGAGTCTAAAAGTCCCAGTAAATCTAATTCCTCTGGCAAATAGTATTAGCATTTCTTGGGGCAAAAATTGACATGAAATGTTGATTAATATGAAGATTTCCTGAAGCATGAAAAATTGAATTGTGTTAACATTTCCTGAAATTGGAAAACTTGCATTCATTCAGAGTTTTCACAAGATTCCCTGAGGTCAGAAATGTTGGTAAAATTAAATGCATTTACCTAGCTTTCTAAAATCACAAATGTACAGAAAATAATGAGTTTGTTGAAGATTTCCTGGCTGAGATTATCACAGGGAACATCAAATCACTTTTGAATTTCCTGAAATATAAATAGTACAGAAATGTTGGATTTGTTCAAGATTTTCTGGCCAACATTACCCTGAGGAAATGCTGAATTATGTTAGAATTTCCTGAGTACACAAACATTGGAGAAACTCTGGATTTACCTATGATTTCCTGATGCACAAACACTGAGGAAATGTTGAATAATATCAAGATTTCCTAAGCAAGATTATTGTCAGAAAAATCATCATTTTCCCAAAATTTCCTGGATATGGAAATTTGAGAATGGGGAAATTTTTAGGAAAATGATGATTTTTCTGACAGTAATCTTACTCAGGAAATATTGATATTATTATACATTTCCTCAGTGTTTGTGTGTCAGAAAATCTTAGCTAAATTCAGAGTTTCCCCAATGTTTGTGTACTCAGGAAATTCTAATGTAATTCAGCATTTCCTCAGGTAATATTGACCAGGAAATCTTGGACAAATCCAAAATTTCTGTGCTGTTTATATATTCAGGAAATTCTAAAGTGATTTGATCTTTCCCCATGATAATCTCAGCCAGGAAATCTTTAACAAACTCATTGTTTTCTGTACATTTGTGTATTTAGAAAGCTAGATAAATACATTTAATTTTACCAATATTTCTGACCTCAGGAAATCTTATGAAAACTTTGAATACATCTAAGTTTTCCAATTTCAGGAAATACTAACACAAATCAATTTTTCATGCTTCAGGAAACCTTCAAAGTAGTCAACATTTCCTGTCAATTTTTGACACAAGAAATGCTAATACTATTTGCCAGAGGCATAAGATTTCCTGGGACTTTTAGACTCAGGAAATTTTATGATGTCTCCAGTGTTGGCAATCCACTTATGTGTTACCAATGTGGGTTATCGTTTTCAAAGATTTTCATATCACGGATTACTGTCAAACACCAAAGGCGGAGAAACAATGGTCTACACTTCGCACTGAGGTCTTATCGGCGGTTGCGTCATTCAAAAATGCTGCTAGAGATGAATGTCTCAAATCTTCCGATTCTTAACCTATGAGCATGTCGTGTATGCGAGTCCGGAACAGATTTCTAAAAAATTCGTCACGGATTGGAAGACCTGTTCTGAAGAAGAAAGGCGACTCTTTTGGCCGTTATTGGATTTCCTCAAGCCTTCAGGTTATGCAGCTCAGGCTGGACTTCTGAATGAATAAGCGGGATTACAACACTGCGCTGATGGGATCACAGTTGTTCTATTAACAACGAG